AAAAGAAGGGAATTACCAGGGGAGAGCGCCAAGCCATTACGATTATATAATGCACTTGTAAGGGCAATATATACTCGGATTTGTCATGATAAGGATTTGTGATGGGACGGGGGAGAGGATGGTTAATGCAGTGCCCATCCACTTGGACGGTCGGGAATTGAACCCCGCCCTGCATGAGGCGAGACCGTCGCTCTACCGTCCAGTCTAAGTTACAACGAATGTAAATCACATAAGTTTACATTTAGGAAAATCTGGACATAAACCGGTTAGGAAAAGGGGTTCTTGATTTATACAACAAATTCCCCCTGTAACAGAACAGATGTGGGACCATTTGATTGTTTCAAGCGTAGGTCAGACATATACATAAACGAGTTTGGGTAGATATAGATAGAAGGTACCTCGTATGGTTCAACAAGACCTCCTGCAGTTTCTTAATTATCTTATTATCGCAGCGAGCTGTCGTATGTCACACCTCCACCTACAGCTTCCAACACATGTAGGTTGAGGAATGTATAAAATATAATTATTCCCCGACTAGGAAACACTGATGATGAGAGTCAAGAAGCCCTTCTTAAGGCTGGTGAGCGAGACCTCTACCGGCACGTTATTCCAAGATATCTAACAGGTGTGTCTACCAATACTAAGGTTAATGAATGCGCTCTTGGTGAAAACTACCTGGATTGTAGAACTTAATTTCACGGTGGATTGAAGACGGGTTGATGATGGCTTGAGGACAGGGTGAGAACGGGATGTGAACGGGTTGAGAATTGGCTACAGCTGGGTTGAGAATAAACACCAATAAACCAACAGATGTCAAAACATGGATAAAATCTCACGAACCAAACAGCCAACAGTGACAATTTACTGTTTTCACTTGGGGCAAATTTCAACCGAGAAAATTCGTATGCTATATATTGGCTTTTGTAGAGTGGCGAGTCACACATTCACACACTCCTGCTCACAGGAATGTGATATCTTTCTCAACTTCACAATGTAACGATGCTTTTCTAAATATTTTTGGAGATGTTGAATGGCCGCTCAAGCCGATTGACCGAGGTATTCGCCCTTTCCATCTATCGAAGCCACATCTGTCAATTCATACCGCTCCCTCACTTTCCAACGATCATTTCTCTCTCTCTCTCTCTCTCTCTCTCTCTCTCTCTCTCTCTCTCTCTCTCTCTCTCTCTCTCTCTCTCTCTCTCTCTCTCTCCTCTAACTAGCCTCGCCATGACACACTCGGCTACCGTGTGAACCTTGCGGACTAATCCCCTCCCCACACTGGTGGCATGCATCAATTTATTACGGGAATCCGACCTGTAGAACGTGTGATTTTCTCGTCATCTTCGTGTCCCCGAGCCATGAGCCAACACTGGCTGGCCCGTCTAACACTGGCAAGAGAAGTCCAAGAAAATCTGACGCGTAGGATGAGCAGATCATACAGGTGTTCTGTATATAATCGGGATTTCCCGTATGCTATCAGGATGTATAGGATGTTCAGAATAACTAAGGAGGATTTCCTGTATGAAACAGGATGTAGAGGGTGTTCTGTATGTCGTGGGGGGATTTTCTGCCCGTCATCGGGTAATTATTCTAGCTGGTACGTATCTGGGCCGCCATCAGCGTTGTCTAAGAGGCCGCCGCTTATCCGGTGCGGGAAGATGCCGGCATCTCTTGCTTATTTGGGCCGCAGGAGGTATTTGCTATCTGGGCTAAGCGTTGGAAAGTGTCCCAGACTCACGTGCTTGTCTCCTCACAGTTGATTGTCTTCAGGTGGGTAATGAGAGGTAATGTGATACCAGGATAGGAAGAAGTGGTATTTATTATCTACATACTTTAGAATTAGACGACAATTGCTGACGCTTCACAACTTCCGCATGAAAATAAAAGTTTTTATGAAAGTTAAAAACAGTTAAGTCATCCGTAATCAGTCCGCTCCAGGGTCATTACCATCAGAGTACTGCACACACTCATTTGACCTTTGAGTACCAGTAAGTACCAGACTGTGAAGCAAGACGACGACTGAGTAATAAGTACACAAACTACACACATGAGGGGCCTGGTAGCCTGCTGGATAGGGCGCAGGACTCGTAATTCTGTGGCGCGGATTCGATTCCCGCACCAGGCAGAAACAACTGGGCAAAGTTTCTTTTCACCCTGAATTTTCTTTCACCTTTCACCGTTCACCTTTCTTTCCTGAATGCCCCTGTTACCTAGCAGTAAATAGGTACCTGGGAGTTAGTCAGCTGTCACGGGCTGCTTACTGGTGTGTGTGCGGGGGGGGGGGGGAAGGAGAAATAGTAGTAAACAGTTGATTGACAGTTGAGAGGCGGGTCGAAAGAGCAGAGCTGAACCCATGCAAACACAACTAGGTGAGTACATGAGATATGGTTCGTCAGTTGCCATTTCTGTCCAACTGTTGCCTTTCACAATTTGTAGTTTCCTTGATTCATCTCTCTAATGAGAACCTAAACTGGTTTAAAGTATTTTTTATGCCTCTACTGTGGCTCCTCAAACCAAGTGGCTTTGCCTGAGGCGCTTACGGCAGTTTAAAACAGACACTTTCATACACATTACAACAGCTGACAAATCCAACACTTATTATTATTTTAAGACAAGGTTGATTATGTTTAACAAATATATGATCTCTAAGATTTATCTAACAACACTAAGCTGAGGAAAATGATGTTGATGACATTATCAAGACTTTCCATGGAAGGCTGAGGATTTTAGTTGAGAACCCGAGCCTTTAGGACTACGACCCCTAAAGCGCTGTCCACTTAGCCACGAGGCCCTGTGTGTGTGTGTGTGTGTGTGTGTGTGTGTGTGTGTGTGTGTGTGTGTGTGTGTATTCACCTAGTTGTGCTTGCGAGGGTTGAGCTCTGCTCTTTCGGCCCGCCTCTCAACTGTCAGTCAATCAACTGTTACTAACAACTATTTTTTTCCCCCACACACACTCACCTACTCCCCCACCCCAGGAAGCAGCCCATAACAGCTGTCTAACTCCCAGGTACCTCTTTACTGCTAGGTAACAGGAGCATCAAGGTGAAAGAAACTTTGCCCATTTTATTTCTGCCGTCACTGGGGATCGAACCCAGACCCTAGGATTACGAGTGCAGAGCGCTGTCCACTCAGCTATCAGGCACTCTATCAGGCTATTGTGTGTGTGTGTGTGTGTGTGTGTGTGTGTGTGTGTGTGTGTGTGTGTGTGTGTGTGTGTGTGTGTGTGTGTGTGTGTGTGTGTGTGCTCACCTATTTGTGAGTACACACACACATTCTGTATATTTTATACAAGATTCTGAATGATTCTTACACAGGTTCCTGAACGCTGTTCTGATGTTAGCCAGCCTGGCATATGCCGCAGACGTTATGTGAGTGTGTGTATGTGAGTGTGTGCATGTGAGTGTGAGTGTGTGTGTGTGTGTGTGTGTGTGTGTGTGTGTGTGTGTGTGTGTGTGTGTGTGTGTGTGTGTGTGTGTGTGCTCACCTAGTTGTGTTTGCGGGGGTTGAGCTCCGGCTCTTTGGTCCCGCCTCTCAACCGTCAATCAACTGGTGTACAGATTCCTGAGCCTACTGGGCTCTATCATATATACACTTGAAACTGTGTATGTAGTCAGCCTCCACCACAACACTTCATAATGCATTCCATTTATTAACTACCGTGTGTGTGTGTATTCACCTAATTGTTCTTGCGGGGGTTGAACTCTGCTCTTTCGGCCCATCTCTCAACTGTCAATCTACTGTTACTAACTACTACAAAAAAAAATTCACACACACAAATCTCCAGGTAGTAGCCCGTAGCAGCTGTCCAACTCCCAGGTACCTATTTACTGCTAGGTAACAGGGGCATCAGGGTGAAGGAAACTTGTCCATTTGTTTTTCTACCGGCAGGAGGGATGGAACCTGGGTCCCTAGGTCCACGAGTCTAGAGCGCTATCCACTCAGTCAGCCAGCCCTGAGTGTGTGTGTGTGTACTCACCTAGTTGTACTCACCTAGTTGTGTTTGCGGGGGTTGAGCTCTGGCTCTTTGGTCCCGCCTCTCAACCGTCAATCAACAGGTGTACAGATTCCTGAGCCTATCGGGCTCTGTCATATCTACACTTGAAACTGTGTATGGAGTCAGCCTCCACCACATCACCCCCTAATGCATTCCATTTGTCAACCACTCTGCCACTAAAAAAGTTCTTTCTAATATCTCTGTGGCTCATTTGGGCACTCAGTTTCCACCTGTGTCCCCTGGACACAGGTGGAAACTGTGTCCACACACACACACACAGCTGTGTGTGTGTGTGTGTGTGTGTGTGTGTGTGTGTGTGTGTGTGTGTGTGTGTGTGTGTGTGTGTGTAATTACCTATGTGTAATTACTCAAGTGTAATTACAGGATGTGAGCTACGCTCGTGGTGTCCCGTCTTCCCAGCACTCTTCGTCGTATAACGCTTTGACACTACTGACGGTGCTGGATTCCACCTTTTTGGGGTTTGGTATGTGTGTGTGTGTGTTCTTGTAAATTAACTGTGTGTGTGTGTACTCACCTAATTGTACTCACCTAATTGTGCTTGCGGGGGTTGAGCTCTGGCTCTTTGGTCCCGCCTCTCAACCGTCAATCAACTGGTGTACAGATTCCTGAGCCTATTGGGCTCTATCATATCTACATTTGAAACTGTGAATGGAGTCAGCCTCCACCACATCACTTCCTAATGCATTCCATTTGCTAACTACTTAATGTGTGTGTGTGTGTGTGTGTGTGTGTGTGTGTGTGTGTGTGTGTGTGTGTGTGTGTGTGTGTGTGTGTGTATGTGTGTATGTGTGTATGTGTGTATGTGTGTGTGTGTTCTTGTAAATTAACTATGTGTGTGTGTGTGTGTGTGTGTAAATGGTTGAGCAGGTACTGGACAAGGTGTGGAGTGTACTCACCTGTTGTTGTTTTTAAGATTCGCTACCTGGAACAAAAAGTTCCAAGTAGCACGGGCTATGGTGAGCCCGTAGTGGACTGGTGTACTCACCGTAGCCAGGAGCAGCAGCAGCAGCAGGTGGTGGTGGTGAAGGCTAGGGACCACCATCGTCCTCCCGACACACTCGCGTAGTCCTCCTGCAGCGGCAAGAATATATATGTTAGTCCTATCTCTCTCTCATTTTCTTCCCCCCTTTCCCTTTGTCTTTCTGTGTCACTAACATACAGTCAGTCTCTCTCTCGCCCTCATACTAGCATTACAATACACGTAGTTCTACATGCCTGCAAAGTTCTCCGTAGAACAACACATTGTATTTCCCGCTAATTCTTTTCTGCTGACTTGCCTCTGGTGTATAATGTTATGAGCAGTGATCAGTTCTCAATGTAACTTGTCTTATATTTTCTTCTCTGAAGACGGACTCTGTTGCTCTTATCATACTAACACTGTGCCACTCTCCTCTTGAATCTATGCCGCTCTGCGCCTCAGGATCTGTGTACCAACTGTGACTACATCTATTTGCTATGTTTATCGTTCCTCTAAAGACCTCAGCTCATGTGGTTTCTCTGATTATCATATTCTTCAAACAGAAAGCAATAGTTCGTCTTGTGATAATGTTTGAATCATCTTTCTAAGAGACTTCAATATTTACCATGATGACTGTCTTAATTGCGTCGACTTCTTAGCCTCAGGGAGAAGCAGCTTTCCGCTCAGGTGTTCGTAATGACGAGGCGGAACTTACTCCTGCGCATGCGCGTACTTCAAATCAACATGGACCTACTCTTAAGACCAATCATCACATAAACAAATCCACAAGGGTTCGAGCCTACGTCCAGGATGATCCCAGACGCGCCTTAGTCGACTGTGTCATATGGTTAAAAGAATTATAACCTGGAGTGCTGCTGCCCTCGCAAGGCTCCCGCAGCTCCTCCGAAGCACAGACCGGGGTTTTACACCCCCCCCCCACCCAGGCTCTGTCAACCAAATGTTCTACCGCTGGAAGCCTTGTTCCAACGGTGTGGCAACAACCTGTCCTCTTAAAAAGAACGTCGCTTTTGGCCGTTTGCCCGTATGGCCAAATATGGACGTAATTTGCAAATGAAAAAAATGAAAATAAATTGGGGATTTTTTTTTCAACAACAGTAAGATAAGGGTCCTCTGATAGGTTAGGTGGACAGGAAATTATCATAAAGTTTCAAAACGTTATGAAAAACGTTAATGGAAAGTTGCCTCTTCTAACCTTGCCGAGTAAGCCGGACGACTAAGAAAACGGAACAGTACGTCACTTTTGTGAGTTGATTTCATTTCAAATTACGTCCAAATTTGGCCATCGCGCGCATACCAGCCAAAAGTGACGTTATTTTTAAGAGGACGGGTTGCAACGTGGAAGTTTGGTCGTGTGCATGGCGGGAGCTGGAAGCTAAATATGGACCCAGTGTTCCCTCAGTCGCTGCACATCCTCGCCCTCTTGGGTCGTCTCGTCGTTCAGGTGAGTGGACGACAATCTTCGCCCATTCTCCGTCTGATGACAATTGTTTACCAGCACGCGAGCATCTTAAGTGTGTGTGTGTGTGTGTGTGTGTGTGTACTCACCTAATTGTACTCACCTAATTGTGCTTGCGGGGGTTGAGCTCTGGCTCTTTGGTCCCGCCTCTCAACCGTCAATCAACTGGTGTACAGATTCCTGAGCCTATTGGGCTCTATCATATCTACATTTGAAACTGTGAATGGAGTCAGCCTCCACCACATCACTTCCTAATGCATTCCATTTGCTAACTACTCTGACACTGAAAAAGTTCTTTCTAACGTCTCTGTGGCTCATTTGGGTACTCAGCTTCCACCCGTGTCCCCTTGTTCGCGTCCCACCAGTGTTGAAAAGTTCGTCCTTGTTTACCCGGTCGATTCCCCTGAGGATTTTGTAGGTTGTGATCATGTCCCCCCTTACTCTTCTGTCTTCCAGTGTCGTGAGGTGCATTTCCCGCAGCCTTTCCTCATAACTCATGCCTCTTAGTTCTGGGACTAGTCTAGTAGCATACCTTTGGACTTTTTCCAGCTTCGTCTTGTGCTTGACAAGGTACGGGCTCCATGCTGGGGCCGCATACTCCAGGATTGGTCTTACATATGTGGTGTACAAGATTCTGAATGATTCCTTACACAGGTTCCTGAACGCCGTTCTGATGTTAGCCAGCCTCGCATATGCCGCAGACGTTATTCTCTTTATGTGGGCTTCAGGAGACAGGTTTGGTGTGATATCAACTCCTAGATCTTTCTCTCTGTCTGTTTCATTAAGTACTTCATCTCCTATTCTGTATCCTGTGCCTGGCCTCCTGTTTCCACTGCCTAGTTTCATTACTTTGCATTTACTCGGGTTGAACTTCAACAGCCATTTGTTGGACCATTCACTCAGTCTATCCAGGTCATCTTGTAGCCTCCTACTATCATCCTCTGTTTCAATCCTCCTCATAATTTTTGCATCGTCGGCAAACATTGAGAGGAACGAATCTATACCCTCTGGGAGATCATTTACATATACCAGAAACAGTATAGGTCCAAGGACTGACCCCTGCGGGACTCCACTTGTGACGTCTCGCCAATCTGAGACCTCACCCCTCACACAGACTCGTTGTCTCCTGTTGCTTAGGTATTCCTCTATCCACCGGAGTACCTTCCCTCTCACTCCAGCCTGCATCTCCAACTTTCGCACTAGCCTCTTGTGTGGCACTGTATCAAAGGCTTTCTGACAATCCAAAAATATGCAGTCTGCCCACCCTTCTCTTTCTTGCCTTATTTTTGTTGCCTGGTCGTAGAATTCAAGTAACCCTGTGAGGCAGGACCTGCCATCCCTGAACCCATGTTGATGCTGTGTTACAAAGTTCCTTCGCTCCAGATGCTCCACTAGTTTTTTTCGCACAATCTTCTCCATCAGCTTGCATGGTATGCAGGTTAGGGACACTGGCCTGTAGTTCAGTGCCTCCTGTCTATCCCCTTTCTTGTATATCGGGACTACGTTAGCTGCTTTCCAAGTATCTGGCAGTTCCCCTGTTGCCAGTGATTTGTTATACACTATGGAGAGTGGTAGGCTCAGTTCTCTTGCTCCTTCCTTTAGAACCCAAGGGGAGATTCCATCTGGGCCTATAGCCTTCGTCACGTCCAACTCTAGTAAACACTTCCTTACTTCCCCACTGGTAATCTCAAACTCTTCCAGTGGTTCCTGGTTAGCTATTCCCTCACTTACCTCTGGAATTTTCTGTGTGTGTGTGTGTGTGTGTGTGTGTGTGTGTGTGTGTGTGTGTGTTGACCAAGTCGTTGTTCGAGGTGCTGCTGGTGTTAACACTTACACCTCATTTTCTCTTCTCTCTTTCATTTCCAAACCTTGGTCAGGTGAGGCTTTCTCCAAAGGATTGGTTTACCTGTAGTGGGTTTCGAGGGTCTGATTATTCCCCAGACCCGGCATGTCTTGTGATTACTTGATCTGCGCGGTTGTTGCTTGCAGCCACCTTCAGGAGCATTAAGGTCAGGCTGACTAGCCTGTTCAGTGATGTTCATACAGTGTTCTCTGATGTTTATACAGTGTTCACTGGGTCTATGCTGTGTTAAGAACCATATCTGTCGCTCCAGAAAGGTATTTTATCATAGATAACGTGTGATCTCTCTTTCTCGTATCTACACCTGCTGATATCTGCCTGATGGGGTTCTGGGAGTTCTTCTACTCCCCAAGTCCGGCCCGAGACCAGGTTTGACTTGTGAGAGTTTGGTCCACCAGGCTGTTGCTTGGAGCGGCTCGCAAGAGAATATTCAATGCCAAAGAGAATCTTCTGAGCGCTTACAGATGGTCCCTGTAATTTTGGCTTTTTACTTTGTCTTAATTTAGAGAACGTTCATGTACTTTGAATTCCTTCTATTTCAAAAATGTCTCCTGCTTTGAAAGGGAAAGAAAGTACTGATGTCCAATTCACCTGGGCTGTAGGTGTCTCGAACCGTGGACTCCACGCTTGTGAGGCCGAAGTTCTATCGACTGGGCCATCTATCGAGTTATTAAGTACTGATGTACTTAGACTCAACTTCAAAAGTAGAGATGAACTGCCGTCTCCACATTAAAATGAGACAACTCCATCTCTCTCTTACTAAAAATTATATTTCAACATTTGGTAATGTTACTGTGCTCTGAGGGCTCGATAGTTGCCCTCCGAGCTGCATAGATAGGCAATAGTTCGAGGACATCTTTTCAGAGAGAGAGAGAGAGAGAGAGAGAGAGAGAGAGAGAGAGAGAGAGAGAGAGAGAGAGCACATTTATATATAAACGAAGTCAAACTACTTGGAACTTTTGTTCAGAGTAGCTGAATCTCAAACAACAACAACTGTACCAATAACAGTCTGGCGAGCGCATCAAGGCAGCAGATTAATGTTTGTCTGTATGTTAATTACCGGCAATTAAACCAGTCTGCTTTAATAACCCCCGTTATTAAGACACACTGTTCTAATGACCTCCGGTTATTAAGGCACTTATATACCATTCTGGGTGACTAACATGGCTTCCTGTACACACAAGCAGTATTATACTGTACACACAAATACATAAAAATACTTTAAGTACAAACGCATATATAATAATACACAGGCCATAGACAGACAAATTAAGTACACAATACTGGTGCTAAATACTTGTGTTTCTTATCCATCTTTCCGTTGTGACACATACAGGACTATTTTGTTCAGGACAAGTTCTTTATCTCATTATTCCTATACACCTCCATCACCGGCCACTCAAGACCGTAATGGGAGGGACTGGGAGACCTTAACATACCACAATTTACACCTATTTTCCTGATCATTATCACACCTGTGCCACATGCCCAGTAATACCTGGACCAGAGCCTCGGCGGCGTGTAGACACTGCTACTCCAAGCAGCTTTACTTTCTAAGTGAAATTGTGAAATTGTTTTGTCAGTGTTTATCCTGGTCACTTGTTGGTGTTGTGTTTACTTATGGTGCTGGGGGGGGGAGGAAGTGTGTGTGTGTGTGTGTGTGTGTGTGTGTGTGTGTGTGTGTGTGTGTGTGTGTGTGTGTGTGTGTGTGTGTGTGTGTGTGTGTGTACTCACCTAGTTGTACTCGTATATTTGTACCTGCAGGATCGAG